GTGTGCAAGTGTGCCATGGTACCCTGGTTAAATCATGATTTTTCTCCTTGTATTCACTACAAAGTGATACTGTTTCACAGCTGGTATTGTGTAAAGTAATGTTAATGTTACAGGTCTCTGGGCTTTTAGTGCTGCACTTATAAAAGTACGTCAGTGTAAGAACAGGCAGTTATCACGATTTGGATGCATTATTATTTTGAGGAAAATATAAGTAGTTTCTCTGAACATTAGATAACAGAGCCTATCTGTAGTCTTATCAGCTTTTGTATATGGTACTGAGGAACTGTGGGTAGATGCACTTATGTCCAGGTTTTTGGATAATGATACATTTTTAACTGAAACGCTTGCTATTTGGTTTAAATTAGGTGACTTGACTTGGCCACTAACTAATATCTCATTTCTTTGAGTTCCTTTTGCAGTTTGCTTTGGGGTCATTATCCATTGTGAGCTGTCTGATTGGTTTTGCAGCATTTGCCCGAATCTAAGCAGATAGTATGGGCAAATATACTTCACAATTCATCCTGCTCCTTTTATCAGCAGCCACATCAGCAGTGACCTGGTTCCACTGGCAGCCATACATGCCCATGCCATGACATCACCTACACTGTGTTTGACAGACGATGTGGTATGCTTCAGGTCACAGGCTGTTTCCATCTTTTTCCATAATTCTCTCCTCTCATCATTCTGGTTTATCTTGCTTTCATCTATCTACTTTTATATATTTTTTAATTTTTATTTTCAGAAAAATCAGAAAATCAACTTCAGATATTTAGATCCAGAAAACATGAAAGAACACAGGCCTCACCCAGGCATGAAACTGTTTGTCAGTAATTTGTCCAGTTACTGGGGCTCTGGAAATGGGGGGACTGGGTACTGCAATTCCATTAAAACAGTGAATGCAGTATTTGGAATAAGCCCCTCAATTTAATGCTGAAAGTCTGCACATCAGTCACGTCTTCATTGTTTGCTTTAAAAGTCACTGTGCTAGTGAATGGAAGCAAAATTACCAAAAAAAAAAAAAAAGTGTTATTGACCCGGCTATATAATACTGAAACCCCTATTAACAAATTGCAGCTATTTTTATGAATGCTGCTCAAAACGTTCCTAATTATTGGGGATAACATAACAGCCCAGCAGACCAGCTTACTAAAGGGTAAAGTGGGGTAAATAAGTCAACTGGGTTGCGGTCCAATTTCAGTGATACCATTATATAAGACAGATTTACTCTCTCGGGAGGGTTTAACAGCTGCAGTTGCTGTGTGTCTGTGTGCCAGGCGCAGGGATTTGGCAGCACAGCCTTGCAGGCCAGCCAGCTGATACCAGACCATGACCTGACAGAGCCCATCCAGGCCCTGCTGCAACTGGTGAAGATACTCCACACAGTCCCACATCCTGGCTCTGCGGAGTCACAGTACTAAGCCCTGCCCATCGCTCTGCTTGGAGATCTGCTCTTTAAGGATATTTGTGCAGCCCCACAATGAAAATAAAATATATGAAAATATACAATCAAATTCAAAATGTTCCATATGTTGTACAGTATTATTGAGAGTGGATAAAAAAAAATAGATGCACAGATGTAGTTAAAAGAAAAAAAGACACATTTTCAGTTGTTCTGGATAATGACTCGTCTTTATTTTGATCTAAAAAAAAAAGAAAAGAAAAAAAGAGGGATATATATACATCATTTTGAACATTAGTGAATTGCATCTTTTTGGGATCCATTTCTTAACACTGTCAAAATGTTATGGAACACAAAAATGGTCAAGGGCATTTGCTCAAACCTTTGTGATGCAATGTTTTTGCTTGTTTTGTACCTAGCAACCCGGAGCCTCTACACCAATTCACCAAATCCAGACATAATTAAAGATTTCCAGTGTCTGCGTTTTGTCAAGAGAGCTGCACTTTTAGAGGCAAAAACATTGCATCGTCCTCCTGCAGTGGAAAGAGTGTTGTAAACCTGTTAGCAAACCCAAGGTTCATGTCAGAACAGACATTTAATTGCTGAGATCTTACACAATATGTACAATTCTGAAACAATCATTCATATAAAAAAAATCAGTTTTAAAATCATCTCACTACTTGTGTTATTTGCACTGAATTTATACAATAAAACATTTGTTGTTGGTCAATTTTTTTGGCATTCAGTTTCAAACACGGAAACGCTCAGATTTTCCCATATTCCCTTTTTCAATTTCTGAATACATTAGCAGCAGTTCGGAATTAAATATTAAGTTTGTGCACTGTTGTTATATACAGTGACTCATCCACAGGTCCCTACATGTTTGTTCCAAACTGGCCAACTTTCATGCAGGCCAATCAGTTTCCTTCCCTGTTTTGCTAGCATGTGGTACCCCTGTTCCTTTCAGTAGCTTCCATGCCGTTTATTTACTTTATAACAGTAATCTATACAGACCAAGCATAAAGAAATCAGTCAGAATTGGGACCTTGACCTCAAATGATCCTTAAAACAGTGTTCCCAAAGAAAACCAGATGATGAACTGGCATTCTTAAGGTCAATGGAGCACAGTTAAGTGAACCTTCATTGGCTAGATGGATCATGTATAAAATACAAATTCAAGCAGGGGCCAGAAGAGAGAAATTAACATTCCACTCTTTCCTATGGCTAGCTAATCAGGACTTTTAAAGATATGTGATCTTTATATTTACACCTATGAACACGATGTGGAATGACGCAGGTTTCGATACAAGGACAAATACTTTAAAGAATGGGGGACGACAACTGGAGATAGTTTACCAGACAAGCATTTATGTCAGTATGTGATTTGATGAGCACACCCACCAGCCCTCCCGCATCAGGAGGGTGGACATCAGCGGATTTCACAGTTTGTCAGATACTTTGATCATATGGATACTGGACAAATATCACAGTAGAGTAAATGATGTTGTTTTCCTCAGTGGAGACACTGTGATCATTTGACAGCAGACTTAAAAGCTTCCTTTTCTGGTTGTCTGGCAGATTTAGATTTGGCACCCTCCAGCAGGGGCCTGCCGTTAAGAGTCCAGACAGTTAGTAAATTGGGCCCACAACACAAGGAGAAAAAAAAAATCAAGCTTCACAGCGGTTTCACTTTATTGACACAATATTAGTGCACACAAACCACTTTTTTTCTTTAAAAATACCATAAATTAGGAAGTAAACGAGGAACAATATAAAACAAGCAAGGAAAAAAAAAGTGCATGTTAACCATGGTATATACCATAAAGTCTTACACTGTAGTTTACAACCTTTTTTTTCATTGTTGTTTATGTATATTCTGTCTGCTTGTAGGTATGTGTTATGTTTTAGACATGTCTCTAGCTTGGATGGATGTGTCATGCCTTTTTGGGGGTCAGGGCTGAGATCCAGGCTGCTTCCCTGAGTTGTGTTCGGCACAAAGCGTTATACAAGCCTAACAACATGACCGTCACCATGTGAAACAATTTTGGGGTTCATTTTTGTGCTTTTGATCATACCTGTAAATTTAATCTTAGTGACTGGTTCCGCAGCACAGCCTACAGCTATGTTATTCGTTTAAGGAGGCATACAGGAGGTAAATTCAAAGGAATAAAAAAAAAAAAGTAAACACAAAGGTCTTAGCTGCTCTAATCCCTGGATTTCCTTTCTTTTCTTCTCTCAGGAAAGGAAAAAAAGCTAAATTATATTTACGAAGACTTTAAAAATATAGGGTTTTTTTTTTTTGTACATTATGCCAACATTATTTTGTGGGTTAGGATGCTTAGTTCTACATATAATATGGCTGAGAAGGCTCATCTAACCAAATTCAGAAAGTTTAGCACCAAATTTCACTCTCTGCCTTTTAATATTGAAAGTCTATACACAAGAGTTACCCCACAACTTGTTAAAAATATCACTGTTGGCAATTGTTTCAGCTATTCCAGTCTAATCTGTCCGGGTGTAAATATATGGTAAAGTTAATTGACTATCTAAATATTTACATAAAAGATAAAAAGAAAGGAAAAACATAAAGCATGTCAGGGGCCATTTGAAACCACAAGGATCCTGGCTGATATGTATTGTATGTCTGAATATCTGTTATCCTATGGCAGTGAGAAGTCACTTATTTGAGGTATATTTTGTTTGCAGGTGTAGATGCAGCTTTCACACTCTGTCTAAACTTTCCTAAATATGTCACCTTAGCAAGAGAGAGAGAGAAAATAATAAAAGTGCTAGGCATTTAGTGGCCTAGCAGCAGCAGACTGCTACTGCTGGTAAGGCTAAACAAAGATACTATGTAGGAATGTCAAATTAAAATTTGAGCAGTTAGTTCATTTTTATATTCCAGTTTTGCCACCCAAACACATCTGATGCTTGTTGACATGAATCTTTTACAGCTCCTGTTAGTGCAGGATGGTTTCGGGTCCTCTCCTGTGTCCTCAGTTTGAGCACTACATCACTGCACTGGAACTGACAGAGTAGTGCGCCTAGCATCCCTACTACTTGAAAGCACTTCATGTCACCTCCAATTCACCAAACCTGACAGCAGTCTCAGCAGAAAACCTTTTATATGACAACAGAGACTATATGTAAAATAATGTTATTATAATATGATGATTAAAAACATGGCAGGTGTATGCTTTCACCCATCCACAAACACCATGCAGGAACTCATAAAGGCCAGTTTGGCACTAATTTCTGTATCCCAGTCTAACCTCATGCTGCAATTTAAGTTTAGATCGTGGGGTTTCTGGTTTTGGGAATAGAGATGCAAAGAGAGGAGAGTCAGGGGAGCAGCCTCAGATCTCTTTTTGTTTGTTTGTTTGTTTTCTCCGTTTCTGTGTAAGCACGAGATGTCTTAGTGTTTGTGTCCATGGATGTGTCAGGACAGCCCCTTTTAGATATGCACTTCTTTCCATTAATCTGATAGCAAATGAATGTGTCACCTTCAAGTGTGAATGAGCACCCTCGTCACTTTGACATAAAAACCTCAACTGTAACCGGACAAGCTCAGCCCTCGTAGCTTTACATCTTTATGACTTGCTCAGCCTTCTAGCAAATGCCCCATTGGGCAAAAAAAAATTGTAAAAATCTAATTTCCATGAATATTAAAATATTGTTCTACGATTCATTTTGCAATTTCCAATCCGGAGGAGCAGAAGAGAGCTCTCGTTTTTGGCACCACACACTCACCTGCTGTTAGTGATAACATTGAAAAGAACTAAATGATCAGAAGAAAATGGCAGGCCTTTTGTACTTCCCTATGGCAAAAATATCTAACACACAATGGCTCTGTCTGAATGAAGCCGTGAGGAGTGGTTACATAATGTCTAAATGACAGGGTGCCATCACTTTAACGGACTGATGAAGCCAGCAGTTTTACATATTGCATGCCTGAAAAGGGCTAAGTTTTAGTTTTTTCCTTGCTTTTCTGTTTTCATGGTTTTTGGGCTGATATGAAATTTTAAAAGGAATGTTGATGCCATTAGTGTGCGTGTGTGTGTTTGAAATGCATTTGTGGGGTTTGTGTGAGAGCATGAAGATGTTTGGGCTCACTCAGTCAATAACTTGATCTCATTGGCAAGGAGGGTGTTGAAGTTGTAGGCTGGATCAGCTAGGTCTGGGAGATCAGGCAGGCTGGGGGCTGTGGACTGGCAAGGTGACGACTGGGAGGGCTCGGCCAGCTCTGGGTCGCTCTCGCTGGAAGTTGACCCCACGCTCATGTTGCAGACTGCTTCAGGCAGCGAGCCACCGCCAGAAGGCACGTTGCACACTTCGGGCTCGCTGCTGGTCTCGCTGGTGCTTGACACGACGGACAGCAGAGACATCTTGCGAGTGAGCCGGTTTGGGAGCATTGACAGGACATAGTCAGCAACAATGCCTGCTACGTCCATGCCACAGGCCTGGTCGAAAGCAATGAAGCCCACATTTGCGTTGGCCTCGCAAACCACAAACGAGCCATCGTTGAGCTGCAGGAGGTCAATGCCGCACACATCCATGCCCAGGATGTTAGACACCTTGATGGCCAGCTGCTTGCCCTCCTCACTCAGGGGGCACATCATGCCTACACCACCTGACAATTCAAGAAGGAACATCAGGCTTTTTTAGTACAAACCACAATTTACAATTCTTTCACGAGACTTCACGATAGTCAAAAAGCAACTAATCTTTTATAAATCAAGAGCAATTACATAAAAAAAAATGACGTGGGGACAACTTAGGATCCTTTAATGTTTTCTGGTTATTTTCAATATTTAATTTCACAATTAA